AATTGGTTTATTTAATTGCATGTGATGATGTAAATTAAATGACGTACGAACATGGCATGACTTTTTAATCCATGGCATCTTAAACCTTTTTAATTTTTTTTTTTTCCAAAAAACCATAATAATTAAACTTTACAATTTTCTAAGTACTTATTAACTAAAACAATTAAAGAACACTGAAATCTAAAAAAAAATGAACAACAAAGCAGTGATTGATTTGAGGTGTACCTTTCCTCCTCCATTGATCTTAATCTTATTTATGTTATAACATCCCAAATTAAGCCTTTCTCTGCTGGATTCCCTATCACTCTTTTGGGTTGTCTTACCGTCATCACAGCTCCTCGGCACAGCAAAATATTTGATCAATTTATATGCTTTTTTCGCTACTTTGCTCGCTCCCTTCAATCCCTTCCCACCATCTTCATTTACATTACCCAAAATTATGAAAACTGAGGCCCATTTCCTCTTCAGGTCGTCGAACATCTGTCAACACCCAAATCCAAATTCTTTGACCATCTCCCTTTCCATCGCAAGCGATGGTTTCGTGCAAGAATCGGACACTTAGACATGTACTATTAAAGCTCAGTGGTAAAGATTTTTTATTGGGGGATTGAGTGCTGGCGATTTAGGATTTGGGATTTTTCGATTAAGGCTTGGGTGATTTTTCGTTTTTTTTTTTTTTCCGAATTTAAGAGTTATTTAGTTTTTTTTTTCCAGTTAATTAGTATTTAAGAAATTTAAAGTTTAATTACTATTTAAAAAAAAAGGGTTTAAGATGACATGGATTAAAAAGTTATGCAACTTGGCATATCATTTAATTCATGTCATCATAAACAAAAATATAAATAAATTAAAATACTTTGTTTTCTAATGGTAAAATTTTGATAACGTTAATGAGTAAATGAAAATTATTAGTTTAAAATAATATGAGAATTAAATTTTTATAAATTATAATAAAAAAATTAAATTTTAATTTTTGATAAATTACAAAGATTATTAGTATAATTTGATATTTTTAAAATTATAATAATAAATTCAATCATAATCAAATTACAATCAATTGAATAATTAATTAAATAATTAAAATATAATTAAATAATCAAATTCTTACACAATAAAATTTAAATTTAAAATCTCCTTCTTACTACCAAATCAAAATATCATAGATACTTTGATCAAAATTTTAAATCCACTAACAATGCTTAAATTTGTGGCTTTTCTCACCTTTTTTTTTTTTTGTTTTGTTTTCAACAATGCATAATTGTGTCGCTTTTCTAGCTTATTATTATTGTCTTTAGATTTTGGTATGAATAAGATAAAGCAAATTATGCCAATAGTTTTGATATTATATTGAAATTTGAAATTTAGCCTGTAAACGTGTACTTAAAGACAAGAAACAAGCAAGCCTTTATCTCTCATGAATAAAGAAGTGGTCGGGTATCCCCAAAAAAGCAAAAGAAACAGAAGAAATAGCTGTCAAGAGTTGCCCACGATTCATCGTTTGGGGTTTGGTGTAATAATCTGTTTATATTTGATTGCTGGGAAAAAAAAATCTTATCCCTTTTTTCTGTAATATAGTATGTTCTGTTTTTTTTTTTTTTTCCTTTTTATATATACTTTACTTTATATTTTCTTGCTAGAACGTACTGATTTTCAGATCTAATGAGAATTGGAATTTATTGTAGGGACAAAGTTGTAGTGGTATGGTCATAAAATATTTATATTGCTTGTTCAAAACAATTTTAGAGATTAAATAAAAGATTATAAAAAATCATCATATATACCACTTAAGGTATAATAAAAAATAAAATATACGATAGCCTCTTAATTTTATTTGTAAAATTAAAAAGTTACACTATTAAATATTAAAAATGAACTTAAAAAATATTCATCCTTGCTATTGATGCGTGTTAATTAACAATGTTATCTAATTATATAACATTCAACTCTTTTATTTAAAATGATCAAAAATTGAACTTTAATTGAAATTAAAAATTTAATATTTTATTAACCAATCATATAATTGTCAATTATGTTTATTTTTTCTTGATATATAGTAAAAATATAATTCATTTTAGAATTAGTTGATGTATATATATAAATATATATATATATATTATATTGATTGATATAGTTAAACATAAATATTTCATGTCATTTAGGCTTGGTAAGTCTATATATTATATTAATGAACCCTATTAGTTGGAAATTACTTGGGTCATAATCTCATCTTTCCATTTGATGTTATCACTCCAACAATCAACTAATCATGCCAAATTCCTAAATTAATTTGAATTTTCTTGGTTAATTATACTTTTGACTTGAATGTTTGCACAAACCTAAATATATACCTACCTGTTCCATGTGGATTGATCTCAATGGTGTCACTTATCAAGCAAATTCATAGCATTATTTCATAATGTTTTTTGGTTGTTTGTTTTTGGTTTTACTACCATATTATCCAAAAGAATGACAAAGAAACTTCAACAGATGTTAATAAAAAATCTCGACTTATCTTAATTCATTCAAGAATTTTATTTATTTATTTCCATGTCAGATAGTTTTTCTTAATATTTCACAATAAAATGTGATGCAACAAAACCAAAAAACAATAAGTACAATAGATAGATAGGGATAGATTTGTTTTCGTATTAAATAAGAAAGGATTAAAAAAATAATGATTTAATCATTAATATTAATTTTAAATTTTTATCATTCAATTATTAAAAGTTAACAGCTTATTGAAATGACATTATCACCTCATTTGATGATTGATATGTGGTATTTTTTGTATCACCTTACATGTAAAATGATATTGTCGTATTGTTTGACTTGTCAGGTAATATTCCTGATATAGAATTATAATTTAAAAATAAATAAATTTTATGTTTGCTGACATGGTATTGTAATGGCGAAATCTTTATTAATCAAATGCATAGTACGTTAGCTTTAAAAGAATAAAGCAAACTCATGCAATTTGATAATTTGAAAGGTCTAACAAAGAAGGGAATGATTAAAAGGAAATTGCACATATTCTGACTGTCTAGCAGTACGAAGAGTTCTCATCCCTCCATAAATCAAACCAAATCAAATCAAAGTTTCTCAATCAAAGAAGCACTGCTAGGTGCTACCTTTGTTTTTTTTTTTTTTTTCCTTTTTTTTTTTCAGTTCTTATAAGGATTTCAGGCCATTCAATGATTTCTAAAACTAAGTACAGTAGGCAATGCAGAAAAGAATTGGTAATTGAATAATGTTTGAGATGAGAGAATGTAGGCGGTCAATATATAGAATTCAAGTACTTATTGCTTTGCTTTTTCCCTCTTTGAGTGTCCTTTTTCCATGTCATTGATTCATATTTCATCCACATATATATCTTTCCAGTTTCTTTGATAGTATGCAACTGATATAAAAGACAAAAATGATCGAATCCCATTTATGAAATTCTCCTTACACATAAGAAGTAGAATAATTGAAAAAAAATGAAGCTCAAAAAAGGAAAATATAATCATATCCTTCAGTTTTTTTTTTTTTTCATGTACATAAGAAGAATTCATAATGTCGAATTTGATACATCATTTTTCCTGTAAGTGAAGGGAAATATTTAAACTGAAAAAAAAAAAGAAAAGAAATATGATTGTGTCATATCCCACTGATCAGTATTGCTGAGGGATGATCATCTTTGATAGATGATAACATAAAAGTAAATGAACCAAGAGAATATTTTAAGTTAGGTCCAGATAAAAAAAATAATTATAATATGAAATGTTTAAATCAGGGGATTATCAGCGTTTACATCAGTCCGTGAGTTGAATATGGATTTATGTTTTTCATTGATTATTATTAAAGCTGGAAAAGATGGTATGGAGAGTCATATCTGCCTGTTGTTCATTAGCTATCTTTTCCTTTTTTTGTTACTTTTTTATCCTTTCTTTTTTCTTGCAAAGTCATCCTGTTGTCACCATGATTCAATGCTCTGATCTGCCATATTCAATCTTAATAACTTTGGTTCAGGGAATAATGGTGACTTGGTTCGTAACTTTCTGCTCTGTTAGGAGCTATAGGCATACACTATGTTTTGTTGGACTTTTTTTGCATGGGCATTTTTAATTTCTTAATGGATTAATGTCATGAATTATGAATCTATAAAATATTTAATGTAATATATGAAATATGAATTTATCAATTAAAGAGATATTTGAAGAATTATTTGTTAATCGCATATCATTATTTAAAATTAATTACAAATTTATAATTCAGGATTACGTTAAAAATTTTTAAAATTCAGTTATTACATTAAATTTTTATTATAATTTAGCAACAATTAATGACATAACCTTTCTTAATTGATTCCCAACTCATATTCCACCAAAATTGTTATTGTGAACCTTTCTTAATTGATTCCCAACTCATATTCCACCAAAATTGTTATTGTGTTTGAACCTTTGACCTAGTACCAGACAACATTTTTATGGTAAAAACTCAGTATAAGCATGGCTTGCTGTGTTCAAGTGAACTACTTCCTCTGAAATTAACATATTCCATGGAGTTACTCTTCCAAGCAAGGAGTCCCACCAGGTTTGAAATTTCCTTCTTTTTTCTCAAATATTTTGGCTTTCGGGACAAAAAAAAGGGGTCAAGACTGCTTGTTGTCCGATGTCATTAACAAAACAGATTCTTTGACTAGATTTTTTTGACAATGGTTTAAAGCTGTAGCCTCATCATCCTTCCACTTTCTTAGTTAAAAGAAGCAAAAAAGAATTATGAAACATAAATATTAAATTTGGGATTGGATAATTCAATATCAGGTCTTAAAGCAGAGATAAATGTGGTCAATTGAGTCAGCTGATCAAGTCTTATTACCCATCTGGGTTAAGGGAATTGGCATATATCAGAAATGTAAGCGAAAGAGATACACTAAGCGAGGTCCAAAATGGAAAAAAAAGTTTGGGATGCCAATGCCAAATTGATGTCAATATTCTTATGGAAAGAACAGCAGATACCACTTAAAAGCAAAGGATTCAAAACCTTTGGTTCTGACTTCTGATGTGAGAGTGTGGGCTAAACCCTCCATTCTTGCAATGAAGAGTGGGCTGCAGCTTGTGTTAATAAACAATATGTTGGGTCTAGTCAGCACTAGAAAGTAGAAACTCGAAGAAAACCTTTGTTCTCATCTCCCATTAAAATATTCTTCATACCAAACTTTTCAACATATAAATTTGAGGTCAGTGAAGGACGACCGTCATACACATTTCCTTCCCTCTTCTTACTGAAAACAAAAAGCATCTCGAAAGGTTTTTGCCTTGGGCTCTTTTAACTTGGTGTCCTTTTCCTATCCCCTGCCTTTTCCCATGGATATTGAGTCAACAGCTCAAGAAAAATCCAGATTTTTTGCGGGTGCTTCGGGCCAGGTTAAGTCCTTGCCTGGTAACTTGAAGGTCAGGGTTATATCAATTTCTAAGAGCATCAAAAAGCTTGGGCAAGATGACCCAAGAAGGCTGACTCACTCCATGAAAGTGGGACTTGCTCTCACATTGGTGTCATTATTATACTATGCCAGGCCTCTCTATGATGGTTTTGGGGTGTCCGGAATGTGGGCAGTGCTAACAGTAGTGGTTTTATTTGAATTCACAGTAGGTAAGTTATAATTTACGAGAATGCCAAATTAAGTTCACAAAATTTTGTAGTAATGTATTAAAATAGTGAACTCATAACTCATATCTTTATCTACCCAGGTGGAACTCTAAGCAAGAGTCTAAATAGAGGCTTCGCAACACTTCTAGCAGGTTTTCTTGGACTTGGAGCAGATTACTTTGCAAGGCTCTTTGGAAAGAAAGGAGAACCCATTGTCCTGGGAATCCTTGTTTTTCTGCTAGGTATGCCTAAAGATACAACATATTCTTCCATAAATCATCCTTATCTTCTGCATCAAAGTTAAACAGGTAATAAACTCGTGTTCATGCAAGTTGATTGGTTTGTTATTTTTTCAGCTGCAGCGGCAACATTTTCAAGATTTTTTCCAAGGATCAAGGCAAGATATGATTATGGAGTCCTGGTATTTATACTGACCTTCAGTTTGGTAGCTGTTTCGGGGTACCGGGTGGACGAACTGGTAGTGGTAGCTTATCAAAGACTATCAACAATTATAATGGGAGGAGCAACCTGCATGCTCATATCCATTTTTATTTGTCCAGTATGGGCTGGTGAAGATCTTCACAAGGCAGTTGCTTCCAACCTGGAAAAGCTTGCTAGTTACCTAGAAGGTACACTAGTAGTGCTGCATGCTAGCTTACTTTACCACATAATTAATTAATTAATTACCCAAGTTGACATATGACATACTTCAAAAATTAATTATTTGACTTAATATAAACTTCTAAACTCGACATTCTTGAACTCGTCTGATACTTGAATCAAAAACAGCTAAGACATTCAAGATTTATATATTCATGCAAGTGGGATTTTTCTTCGTATTAATACAAAAAATTACGTGATATTTATTTTTATTACTTATTTTCTATAATTAAGTATAGTAATTAATAACAAAATTACATGCAGGATTTGGAGGTGAATACTTTCAATCTTGTGAAGATTTGGGGAAAGCTGTGGGTTCAAAGGATGGCAAGTCATTTCTTCAGGGATATAAAAGTATTCTCAACTCAAAGAACAGTGACGAATCTCTGGTGAGTTTAGCTTCTCTCCACTACACTTTGCCTTCGCATGCATGCCACTAACATTTGTACTTTGGATAGTTGAGCACTTTAAAAAATAAAAAATAAACTTATAATATCCATGTTTAATATCATTGTTATTGATGTAATTATGCAATAAAATAACAGGCAAATTTTGCAAGATGGGAACCTGGACATGGCCGCTTCCCACTCCGTCACCCATGGAAACATTACTTGAAGATTGGAGCTCTTGCTCGACAATGTGCCTATCAGATTGAAGCTATTAATGGCTGCATTGGCTCTGATATCCAAGTACTACTACTTCACTCTACAATCATTAAACAGAACACTATGATCAGATGCATATTTGGAAAAGCATATGACTTATGATTGAAGTGATCATATGATGCAACAAATTTTGCATATTGTATTCTTCAATTCTTACTCACTTGGCTTTCATCGATGTTTCAGGCATCACAAGAATTCAAAAGTAAAATTGAAGGATCGTGCACAAGAATGAGTGCAGAATGTGCTAAGGCAGTAAAAGCATTAGCCACAGCAATGAAAACAATGACAGATCCATCCTCGGCCAATCCCCATGTGGAGAACGCCAAAGCTGCCATGAGAGACCTGAAATTTGCTCTCAAAGCTGCCTCTTTACAGAATGCGGACTTCCTAGCAATAGTACCAGCTGCCACGGTCGCTTCAGTCCTAGTTGAGATAGTCAAATGTGTGGAAAAAATCTCAGAAGCAGTCCATGAACTTTCCCAACTAGCTCATTTCACCAAGACTCTGGAACCAACTGTTTCACCAGAGAAACCACAACAGCTGCTTCACAGGGGGATAATCCAACCTGTTTCAGGTGGTGATGGCAATGATAATGTTGTTATCACAATACATGAAATCTCCACCGATTCACCAGAGAATGGGAAGCCTGACCAAAAGGTGCCAAAAACTGGCCAAAGATTAATGGAAGTGTAAATATGCGTTGCTAACATGCGACTACAGCTCTCTTTTTTTCCCTTTTGTTGCTAATCTAAGGTCTAGTTTTTTAATATGGGGCATTTGAAGAGGGAAGAAATTATTAATAAATCCTTCCCTGTTTTATTAATTCAATCTCCTTCTTAATTGCTAGCCCTTTCTCTTGTTGTTTTCATGTACTAATTTGAGCTATGTGGCTGCTTTTTGTTTCTTTAACTTTTGTAATTTTCAGCAAAGTCAACAACAAAAAAAGAAAAAAATTCCAAAGAGAAGTTGAAGCAAATACGAGTTTCTCAACTAATTTTGGAGTTAAATTTAAATTTAAGTATAATTAATTAAATCCAAAGTCAATGAAGTATAATTAAATTTAAAAACAAGGTTGAAAACCAATTTAAAATAAGGAGAGAAACAAGAACAAGGTGCAGCATCAGCAACAGTGCAGGAAAAGTGATTAATTCGATCATTTTCCAATGCAAAGAGACAGTTACAGTAGCCAAGTGCTTCTTTCTTCAAAAAAATAAATAAATAAATAAATAAATAATAATAATAGCCAAGTGCTTCTGGCAGTTTTGCTTAGTAGTTGGATGGTTTTAGGTACAAAGCTTCCTGAATTGATTTCTAAATTGGATGATAAGGAAGCTAGCCACTAGAATTCAACTTTCCAACTCCATTGTTGCTCCAAATGTTCATTTATGAAAAAACTAACAGCAATAAGACTGAGTAAATCATAAAATACGTTGATGTTTAAATTTGTCATGATCATATGATGACATTCAACAGGAGATAAAGGGGCAAAAGTAAATAATTGATTTTTTTTAATATTTTTGAAGTTATCAGCATTTGAATTTTAATTATTAAATTAAAAATTTAGCACTTCCCTAATAGACTGTATAATTGTTAACGATAACGTCTCACTTCTCACTTTAATATATAAAATGTACAAAGTATCAAAATTATTAAAATACCCGTAAAATAATTTATGGACATAACAGAATTTAATCTTTTCTAATTAATTCCTATCCTTAAACCAATAAAATAATGGCCCGATGCTACGAATTACCATCAATAATATCCACCTCAAAAATTAGAAAACTGGACTTTTAAGTTTTAACCCACTAAAATTAAATTCATATATTGTAACAATCCAGTAATAAATTATTGAAAGAGTATATCTCTAAGATCCCACAGATTGTGTGCCTTCACTCACCCTCCTAAATTTGACAAATGAGTTCTAAATTCTAATACTATTTCAAAAGAAAATGTTAGGATTTAATTAGTTTTAATACAAAAATTTTGACAAAAACCATGCTCTCTTGAGAGGGTCTATAATATTTTATTATATAATTTTTCAAAATTCTATAATATTTTATTTTTATATGCAAGAATTTATTTTTTTCTTTAAAAAAATGAGACAATTCCATGGGAGATAAATACAAGAAATTATCCAAACAAGATGGGAAAATGAACATCACCCGCAAGAATCTCCTACAAAAGATAAATCTGACACATAACGTCAAAGGCCAACATCTATAATGTCCAAGACAATGTAAACCTAATTTATATGAGTAAATTTTTTTCTAATTATACTTAAACCTGATTTGGGTGTTTGACTTTGCCTTTGTATGTTCTCTTTTCTGTTTAAAAGAAAAAATAATCTAATATATGCTTATTGAATCTAAAAATTTAAGACTAATTAAGTTAATGAAACAGCAAATCTATGCACTTACCAAGTAGATTAGCTCCAGGCAAGGTACTTCCAAAGGTCCCAAACATCATACTCTGGAACCAGCAAGTCGTATATTATATTATATAGCAAATTAAAATGCACTAATTGAATCCCAAACTTTATATAATTACTTTTAAAAAATAATATTAAGTAAGTCTACAATTTAAATCTTTATACTTGTTGTAACCTAATTCTTTTTTTTTTTTTGTGGTGCTGCAGTTTCCTTTTATAATAAAAAAGTTCACTAATTATAATTAAAGATATATTTAAGACTCTAGGGATTAACATAAACCATGAACAAGCATTAACAATGTGACAGCCCCCCCACCCACTAATTTACCACATAGCTAGAGATTACAGTACAGAATTGGACAATGGAACTTCAGATTTTCTTCTGAACTTTGAGTTGCTCACCACTAGTTGAAATTCCATGCAAGTGGGCATTGTTTATTAATCCCCCAACAGTAAGCCAATAGATCCAAGGAGTTTGGTGAGAATTTTAACTTGGGGTGCCAACAGAACTTGTTTGCTAGGCAGGGTTAAACTTCTCATGTATGGAACTCCTTTAAAATAAATAAATAACTATGATGGTTAAAAATATAAATTAAACCAGTGTCTAGGGGTGTATATAGTGTGCCCATTGACTTTGTTTTAAGTTTCAGGATTTTTCCATTGGTGTCACCAATTTGACTTGCTCTAAAGAAAACCCACTTTCAAATGAAAGTTTATTGCTGCAACTTGTGTTTTTTAGTGCCATCCAATATCAAACTCAAAGAAAGTGTTAAAGATGTGAAATGGACATAAGCCAAGCGAGTCTCTGAGAAAAAGAAGTGGTGAACACAACACTTTTCTATGAATAAAATTTACCAAGGAATAATTTCTGCTGTTGTAATCAATTTTTTTCATGCAAAAGTAACTCTTGGATTCTGAGGGAATTCCCACCCAATAAATTCCTTTTTTAATTGTTAGAAGTTAGGTCATTGCTTTCTGAAACGAGATTCCACTTAGCATAAACGATCCCCTCCATATATCTTCAATTTATTTGTTTCCTCTTAATTTTCTTTTCTTATTCTAAGGAGCAAAAGGAAGCAAGTTGGTCCAATTTGTTATAGATATTAAATGAGGAAAAAGGGGTTTTGTTTAAAAGCACAGCTCCACCACTCATTTCCCACGCTTTAATCTTTCATTAGTACAAAATACACGCACCCAAATTCTTTAGTGAAGTACCCTGATTAAGAATTATACCAAAAAAAAAAAAAAAAACCCATTACAGATTACAGCATAAAAAATTTATGATTCATAAGAATATTCTACAGCATTAGATTATGGCTTGCCAAAGTTAAATTCAGGCAAGAACTGAACGTGGGAAACATAATTTTTCTTTCTGAATAGATGTCAGTAAAATGTTTTTTTAGGTCTCGCTACTTTAACAGTCTGAACAATAGGCTGCAATCCCATAGCTTAATAATGAGGCATAGAAAGCTGTAAATTTTGCTGTCACCGGATTAAGTAAATATCAAAGGAACCAATCACAGATAAATTAATGTTTTACACTCGTAGAATCAGTAGAAAGTTCAAAAAATTAGATGAGATTCACGAATGACTTGATAATAACACAAGTTTTCTAGGATGATTCTAGGTATGAAATTGCTCATTGAAGACCCTTTCCTCGTTTAATTCTGAAGAAGGCAACTTATATTATTTTCGTAATAAATTAGGAGTAATGATCAAGTTTGTGGTGGTAAATGGGAATCACATGCATGGTGATTCAAACCAGTCTACTTGAGTGATTGTGAACTCAACTCCATTTACCTAACCTGTAGGTGTACCTCAAATACAGAATAAGTTGGATTCACACGTGAACCGCACGCCCAAAAGAGTTTATTGCCAGCTAACGGTTTCTTTGTCTCCATGAATTTATCGATTTTCTTTTCCCTTTTTATTTGGTTTTCAGCATTTTTGGTGATGATATGCCATGAATTCCAGACTAACCTGTTTAATTTCAATGAGGGAATCCAATGTCCACACCACATTTTCTTTTTTTAATATCAAGCAAACATTTTAAAAAAAAAAAACTCAAGATAAATTAGAGAAATTGCAGGGAAAAAGCAGCTCATAAAGTCCCATCAGCTCATAAGTTAGTCCAAAAGAATAATGATAGAGGCTTTTTTTTTTTTTTGGACAGTAATGATAAAGGCATTTATATCATCAATCAAAAATTCTAGCCCTAGAGAGTAGAAACATGGGGGAAATATGTACTCCTATATATAATTTAACATCAGTTATATTCATAGCACTTTTGTCTTAACATTAATGTAGAAATTGCAATTTCCAAATTCCAAATACCACTACTCTAAATGGCTATCCATAAATCCAAATGACCAAAAAACAAAATGATAATCATAAGGAACCCTATCATGTAAAAATCTCTATACCCATAAATAACTGGCTAGCTATCACTACCACTGAGGCAGTGCCATAGCTTTCTATATGAGCACACATTGACTAACGTAAGTTGTAGAAGCTATATCAATATCATCATCAGGATGACAAGAAAAAACGTACGGTTTTAGTCTCTACATTAAAAGACTCAAAACTATTTATAAGCTACTGAAATTTGAGTAATTAAAAATTTGTATTTGACTTGTTAATTATTGAACCGAAACTTGAGTCCCGAACTTCTCAAATAAAAAATTAAATTAAATTAAAAAATTTTAATGCTCGATTTGAAAAATTTGCAAACCTTATTGAGCCTTTATATAAATATACTTTAAAAATACAAGCAAATTACAAAAAGTATAAAAATTTAATATTTATATTTATAATTTTATCGAGCGTAATCTAATTTATCAAATTGAACTCAAGCTGCTCAAATAAATTGAGTCAAATTCAAGTTTAAAAATTGAAATTCAATCAAACTTCAGCTTCAAGCTTGTATTGAATCCAGTTGACTAACTGAATCCATGTCAATTCTAAGAACAATTTATTGATAGAAGAGTAGTTTCTCGCAAGATGCATCTACAAACGTACTTAAAAGCATATGCAGGGAGATTTTCATCAAGAAAGTAGTTTCAAATATCTTCTCTCAATACATAAGAGACAGTTAAAAAATTATTAAGCACTGAGATCATAAGCTAAATCGAATCCTAGAAAATAAAGATTAAGAAAGTCCTAACAGTTTTATTATAGCTTGTTTTGACGTTCAAATATGATTAGTTACAAGAATGCGTCATTCAGTTTGATTGCACACGGATTTTCATCTGTAAAGCATCTCTTCTCAAGAAACCAAGCTAAATGTACTCGAGGGAGAACAATTTATGTATACACAAGACTAAAAGCAAAATGGAATCCCAGAAAAGATAAAACCTAGAAAACAGAAGAGGAAGGAAAATTGCCATCACTTTATTACAGCTTGAGCTGACATCTAAAACATAATTACTTACAACATATGATCACTCGGTTTCCCTATATTTAAAATATTTTGGTATCTATTTTGATCTATTAACAGAAACGGCAGGAAAGGCAGAAAACAGAACAAAACTCATTCTAAACTGTCTAGATATCTGTCTTCAGAAACAAATATACAGCTAACTGAAGCAAAAGAAACCTTTAGACTAACAACCATGGTTAGCAGCTTCTACCGGCAGTGTGTGACTAATTGTCAATACAGGCTTTACATCTACTTACCAGCCATAAATAGGATTTTCCACCTGTGGAGGTAAGAGATGAAGGTCCTTAGAATGTTGCTTGTCATAATCCCGTGTACCAGGTATTGCTCCAGTGCAAAGTCTAAGGAACTCATTCCCTGTGAAACAGTAGTGGCTAAATGCTAGACCACCATCAACCATCTCCGAAAAGCTTGGCATTGAAACTGATTTTGCAATTATTTTTTCATTTGATCTGAATTTTGCAGATTTATCTTCATTATTCAAAACCCTGTCAAGCTCTGAATATTCTATAAATCTTCGGGTAGCAGCCTCCCATGACAGGTTGTATCTTTGCTCAGGGGTAAGGGGTTGAGGCTCATTTGCCAATGCTTCCTTTACTTTAGCAACAAAGTCATCAGATGTCTTGTAAGTCAGACAGTTGGGAAATGACCTGAAGAACTCATTTGAGGGATGGTCTGCACATACTACAAATTTTCCCATCGCAAGTGCTTCTGCAGTAGCTGTGCAGAGCACATCACTGACACTGGGGTTTATGAAGACTTTGTACCTTCAGGAAAAGAAGAGAATGTTAGAAAGTTAGAAATGGAGTAACTATAGTGCTATACTGATTAAATTATTATTTTTGCAGAAGCTTGATGAAGATTCCTCGTCAATATATTTTTTAAAATACAATCATCATCTCAGCAAATGATCAGAGAACGAATGCATCCATAAAAAAGAAGTGCCTAGAAGATCCTTACCCATGAAGAGAATCATCTGCATGGTCTCTTCCTTTCAGAAAATTAAGATTCAAATCCAACCTCTTAGCAGTACTCTGAACTTCATGTGCATCCTCACCATTTCCATACACATCCAAGTTGAAACCATCAAGATCATTCTTGTGCTTTGCCAGCAAATCTATCAACTCTTTGTATCCCTTTGCCCAGACCATCTTGCCTAAGAAGTATGCTCCTTTAGAGAAGGCTTGCTGCCCGAGTTCCCTTTCTTCAGCAACTCTCTCCCCAATTTTTAAAAACTTTGGATTTACACCATGAACATTGCAAATCACAGACTTTGGTAGATCCTGAGTTGCAGCAGAAAGACGAAGAACCTGATGCAATACAAAGAACGACTCTTGAAGTTTACCAATAAGACTTTTAAATGACTGATAAAATGAGCAGAGACCTAACCTATTATACAATTTAGAAATGAAAAAATGATATTCAGAGATGCCACACAAGCATAAAACAAAATTGACACACACCTTGTGACAATATGCTCTAATGACCAAATTGTTGATGTGTTTCACAAGGAAGGCTTGTAGAGCACCATTCTTCTCTCTCTTAATATATTCCAAGTAATTTGTGTGGACAATACCAACAACATGGTTGAATTTGTCGGTCCAGCGTTTACCATGATGATACCAGTTCAGATGTTCAGGTTCTTCCAGAATAGCAATGTCAGCATCTTTTGATGGGATAAATTGAGAAGTATCTCCAGCAGGTATTATGCTTCGCCTTTCTTTCGAAAACTAAAAAACAATTAGCAAAAGATTGTCATTTAGTAATATGTTTAATGATTGAGAAGACTGAACATGATGCAATACATCAAAGGTTACCTTTCCCGGATAAAAGGAGATTTTAAAATCAGCCTTAAAACCAACCCTTTCTTCAAGCCAGTTATGTATATAATTCTCCTGCTCCTCTGGTGAACTGAAAGTGAGATTGTTGGGATAAACAAGTTCTTGATCGGATCTGCAAAGCCAGGGAACCAAGAGCGTGACTTTTTGTTTTGCCGATTTTGCCAAGTATGCTGCCCGAAAAAGTGGATTTACTGCAGTTCCTGTCATCCATGGGAGGCTGGCAGTTGTCACAATGGCAACATGCCTTTTCCCATCTGAGACATCATGCTTCACAAAGTCTGTCCAAAAACCACCCTCATAACAATGCCCTGTACTTTGAAGAACGCTGGCAACCCTTAAATCCAGTTCATCATTTATCTTATCATTGTCGACAGTAGGCGGTTCTCCAGCGGCAAGGGAACGCCAAACAAGTTGGTTTTTCCGTTTGCTACACAAGCTTTCAACTATCTTGTCACATATATCTGAAATCACATTAATGAAACTTGTAAAAACTACTTGCAGTTAGATTCCATACTCTAATACATTATTCATAGATAAATAAGCAACAAAAGGGGAAGCATATAGTATATAAATTGCCTCATACTTTCAAGGACGTTAAATAATTCTTTTCCTAAGATGTGAAATGGCTAGGCAGCAAGCTAATGACATCAGTTCTGACTGCATAAATGACCTCAAAATAAAGAAACTGATGAGGAAAGGGAAGAAAAGGAACTGGAAGTTTTCATTTCTGTCTATCTTAAGTTCTTGAAATATTTGAAAGGTGGCATGACCATATATGAAAAATGAAATGAAATCTTTATTTCACTGTCACATTATAGGATGTTTAGAAGTTAAAACCAGCATCCAGCAGCTCACTACTTCCCCAACAATCAACTGCCACAGAAAGGTGAACGACAGACTATTAATTATTCAGCTTAACTACTCCCAGCAGAGAAACAACATTCGAGAGTATTTCAAACATTAAAAGTTGATGATTGTTCCATCACAATGGTCATTCAAGGTGGTTGCCCCAATTTTATCCACGTGTAAAACAGCTGCTTTAGTTGGTCAGATGAAGTTTTTATAGAACATTTTACAGATTCCAAATAGACAGGAAATTAACTGAAATAGAAATTACAGTGGCCCTACAAAGGGAATCATAATGGAAAGCAGAAACGAGAGAACAGAACCCTTCAAATGTACAGAAGACACAGTAAAAAAATAGATAAAACAGAAAGGTGATAAGGAAAACAAAATTTCAAACTCAACGAACAAAAAGCTACTCATGACAGAACATTTTAAACGAAAAAATGCATATATGAGAGATACAGCAACTTACCTCTTCTAACACCAAGTTGGTCCAAAAAAGCCCCAGACTGCCTTACCAAATAGGCTAACAGTTCTGGTACATCTAGTGGGGGTACTTCCTATATCAGACAGGAAAAAAACGAAAAGCATTCAGCACAATGCAACAGATATTTTACCAAGCATCTTAAACTCTGATCATGTTTTCATACGCATGCAATATCCATTAAAAGCTACAGCCATGTTTGTTTTCATTATCTCTATACAATTGGCCCCATCCTCCGATAGAGATATTTGTAATGAGATGATCAGGACGGAAGCATCGCTAATGCTAGGTGTTAGAAATTAGAAATAACTGGTGAAGCCTGAGTTATCTCTAATAATTTCAGAACAAGCATAGCAGACTGCAGTTTAGTAGAGAATATGCCCGTGAAGAAAACAAGAAAGGCCCAATCCAAAAGGTTAGGAATAGAATGTTCAACAATACTACATCAATTTGGTTCACTATACTTGTATAGTCTATTGACATATTATGGCTTGGAACCACATTATTGATCAAATAGACAAAAATACAAAGCAGATGGACAGAAAGTATAAGGTTAAAAACTCCAGCGATGAGAAAATGTTTCCACAAATTCAACTAATATTAAATATCTATTTTAAAAAATGGCCAGAAAAGTTGAGGTGATAAAAAGATTTATTATCATTCAAAGCAAAAAAGACATCAGTCAGCAACCAAAAACTTTCTTCTAGTTGAAGTATTTAAATGCATGCACATTTTTGGTGGTTCTCCAGCTAGATAAGCCCATGCTTAAATTCCTGATGTCAAGAGGCATTAAATCCCCTTGCAAGGTCCTGTCAACCATAATCAACCCAAAGAATTGGCTATTAAATGATGAAAAGTAGAACTCGCCTTAAAATATAGAGGAATGTCCAAGATGCCATGCAGAGGATAAGGTAGAAATTTTAATTCAGGTCAACTCAAAAGACAATTTGAGAAATTATGGTTTAACTCCAATGTGGCCACACATAGGAATATAAATATAATTATAACATGTTGTACTAATCCCAACAAAATAACCAACTAGCCAAATAAATACAAGCATGCCAGTAGCTAATAGACCCTAAATTCATGTAGAATCACAGCCTATCATCACAAAGGAGTTTCAGTCTTAGATTCTTTAATGCAGAACTAGCTTTTATAAGACTGTATGAATGGCTTTCATGCTTATTACCTAACATGCATGCCATTATTACGGACTTGGCAAATCTGTAAGCCATCAATTATGCTATACACACTGATATACCCGTCACAAAAGAAAAAACAAAACTTCAACAGGACCTTGACAATGAATGAAAAATTGTTTGCCTGAAACACATAAATGACATACCCGCATCAAAGAATTGGAAATATGAAATAACACTAGGAAAAAGTGAAAGTCCAAAGGTTGAGAAGAGAACCTTTGACTCCTGAGGCTCCGTGTATATTGCTTTCTGCAAAATAAATAATCTTATCAAACAATTGTGCGCTTAAAGGATTTTTAATTTACAATAATCAACATAAAAAAATCACAACATAAACATCTACAGTATACAAACAACATTTTTACAAGCTAAAATGTTCAAGATCCAACTAAATACCATCCATCTAGAGCTGGATATTTAGAACAACATATTTATAACAAATCCTCCTTTTATGGAATATTATAGGGTGAGCAAACTAAAATGCTTACACATCAAGTTATACCAGTTTAGCTATCACAAGAACTTTATGTTCAAGAAAAAAATACTTTACATGAATGTTTGTTTCAGGCTACTAAGAGTGACAATTGATGAAGAAATATTTTGTTTTAATTACCTCGGCATAATTGGTTGGTCAAAGGGAAAGGAATACACTACCTCTTAGCCTCATGAACATCACAATATCTGAACTTTCCACAAATACTTTGACATAATTTCTCTTCTCGACAATGCCTAAATCCTAATCAGTAAGAGAAGAGTATAGGGCTTCCTAATAGGGAAATCAGATCTGTTAAGATACTTCTAATTGGTTTGAAAGTACCAAGTGTATCCAGATTAAAAGGACCAAATAGCTAATTAAGCCAAGATACTACTCACTGTTACAGGTCAATCAAAGGGTATTGTACAAGGAAGCAGTAGAACTGAAGCAGGGAAGCCAATTTTACTAGCCTTCAGATATGAATGCATTCTCTTTCCAGTAGTACTTCCTGCATCCATAGCTAAAGGTTATGAACCAATTGATTAACATGAATTCTACAGCAGCCATTGTTTAATCTTCCTGTTACAAAACAGTAATAGGTGTGCCATTGGATTCAGCCTTTAAAAGCCATAACCACCAAGTCTACCTTAGTGGCAAGTTTAGTAGTTATAGGAGGCCTTAGTATCTAAAAGTTACCACAACTTTCATCTTTTGCTTTTAAATCATAAAAATTACATCTTCATTCAAACCACCAACATGTAAATTCTGATTTAACGTACAACATCCAAGAAACCAAAATAAAAAAAAAATGAAACAAAAACCATATATGTACCAATAATCAGTAATCAGTTAGTAGCTCTTGTTATGATGAATAGGACAACATCACCAAGCATGTTAAACAATAAAAATTCCCACTTCACAGCCATGGTCTGAGGTGCAATACTCATTAGTAAGATAATGATCTTCCAAGTTCCAAGCCCCTTTAATTTTTTTTTCTCTTCTACCATAAGAATTCAAGCGTCTTAAAATCTTGAATGAACCTGTGAAAATATTTGGGTATAATTTAGAAAATTCAGTATCCTAAACACTTCAAGTTTCTAACTACATCGGCCACTCTATATTCATCAAATTCCCTACTTCCCGTCCAAACAAAGACTAATTACAGAATTCTGAAACTAATATGAGGCATAAACCCAAAACAAATAATTGAACCTGATGGCAATTGTCTGACATCCATGAGACTACAACCATCAATTTTATACCCTTATAAAAACTTAACATTAATTCCTAACTACTTGACACATCAATTATATATATTGAAAAGAAAATCACGCCAAATAACAGGAAAAAAAAAAGGCAGTCTCAAGTCTCAACCAACAAAAAATCAGAAAAAAGAGCTTACCAAACTGGATTTAACTTTCTCCACAAATTCACTATTCTTAAACCCACCAAAAATTTCAACAGAAGAATTTTTCTTCTCAAACTCGCTTAACCTTGTCTTCAAGGCCCGAATTGGTTCCCAATCCCCAAATTGCCCTTCCTCTCTAAACCAGGCCCTCCTACCTTTCCTAACCTTAGTAACATCGATAATACCGTCCATATCCTCCGCCTCGTTCTCATCCACCTCCGCCACCATTGCGCTCCTTATCCTTGACAAGTCTATCCCTAACTTCGCCCTAGGCCCCCATTTCTCCATCACTCTACGGCTAATCTCCGGCGCCGAATAAACCCTCCGAAACTCCGATATCTTAGGCTGCAGCTTCTTCATGAAGTCGATTTCCGAGGATTGCCGGATCACTGGTACCGAAAAAGTCGGAGCCGCCGACTGGATTAAGTTCTCGATTTCCCTGTCAACACTCGCCGCGAGATTCTTGAACGAATTGGCCCGGTCTTTCATGAGTTGCAAATCCGCGTCGGCCGAGTTACGGACCTCTCTCCACCCCTTCGAGATGAACGAGAAAGCACTAGAATTCGAGGTCGCCGCCGCCGTAGTTTGAGTCTCGTTGTCCATGGCGTGAAAACCCAGCTAGCGTTCTCAGTTTTCCGTTAACAGAGAATTTTAATTATTTTTGGGCCCTTTTAATTTTTTTGGGATTTGCAGATGTGAGAAAGGGAAGAGGGAGGGGGAACTGAGAATTTAACGGTTAGGATTTTGGTCCTCTAAACAATTCTGGAAGTGGAGAGTGACACGTAGGATGGCACGTAGGATCAATGGGTGACGTACGGAGATTGCCTGGCTATCCTGGTGGATGCCGCGTTAGAAGATGAGGTGGTGTGTTTAGATTCAACAGTGCGGATATTCGGCGGAAGGAATATGCTAGAGGAGAAGGTTGGGATTCCGTGAGGGGATTTGCTTGGAATTGACTGTGATTTTATACAGGTGGTGGATGTTAATTGGCCAAGACGCAAAGACTTTGCCTTTCTTTTCTGCCTAACTTTTTTGCCTCGTCCATTTTATAGTGTGACTTTTCCATTTTTCTCTCGCGTGAAGCGCGCTTGATTTATTTTCTTGCCCAATTTGGCCGGCTCCATTTTGATGTTAACGTCAAAATTTTAATTTTTTTTGTCTTTTAATTTTTATATTTTAAAATTTAAAATTTATTTATAATAATAATTATGTATTAAATAAAATGAATAACAATTAAATTTACTTTCAAACCAAATTATTTACCTAATTTATAATTGATTTATTCCTGGGCCAAACTAGTCATTTAGCTTGGAGATTTAAATTAATTCGAGTTAAACTTTTGCAATAAATTTTTTAACTTGGTTTGATTAAGGTTAACAATAATATTCGAATTCGTTGATTTTTTATTCGACATGACTTTATAAGATTTTTTTTAATTGGATTTCGGTCATATTGAATCGAATTTTTTAAAAATGAAATAGAGTCAAATTTTAGATAAATTTGTTTTAATATATAAATATATATTATTTTTAATTTTATATTTATAAATATATATTATATTAATAAAATTATTATGCAATACTTTAATTTAAGATATTAACTTAATAAAAATATTATATTTACATTTAATTAAGATATAATTTATATTAAGAAAATTATTTTATGAATATTATATTAAATTAATTTCGGATAAAATCGAATGGATTACGATTTTATACATATATGATCAAATTAGGTATAAAAAATAATATTTTAATACTGAATCGAATCAAGTTCAAAACAAGTAAAAATTCATCTTGCCTTGACATGTTATTATCTTTAGATTCAATCAAGATATTAAATTATTAATAAAAATATTTTTAATATAATTTAAATTCAAATATATATTTAAAATATTATTAAAATTACTATTGAAAATATATTAAAAATATTAAAGTATTAATAATTTTTTAAAAAATTTTGGATCCTTTGATAGGTCAAGGTTTAGATAAGAATTTTAAAAAATTAATTCGATTTAATTCATAAATATTTTTATTAATAATTTTATTGATAATTTTCAATACATTATGTATAATCCTAAAGAGTGTCTTTAAAGTATTTACTTAACAAAATTAAGTATAATTTAATATGTGATAAAAAAGATACGACACTAATTAAAACTCGAATTTTTAATTTGCTCGAAAGAACAAAAAACAATAATGATAGGGGTGAGAGTGATTGTTTGGTATCGTGTTGCTTAAATTCACTAAATTTCTTATACGTACAAGAAAACTTATATACATATTTCAATCGTGCCAATGAGGACTTGTGTTGGTAATGGCCATTTGTGTGTTTCATTTACTTTTGTATATATGTTGGATTCTTTTTATAGTTTATTGATGTTTTCTTCAACTCAATATATATTGAAGATTACTTTGTCATGCACGATTATAGTGAAGTTTGAAATTGAAAAAAAAAAAAAAAAAAAGGACACAAGATATCAATCATAAAAGTTGAGTAATTTAACTCCTATTATCTCATTAAAAAATATAAACATCATATTCCATTTATAAAATAAATAAAAAGTTTTACTCTCTTTAGTGATAAATTTGATTATTTATGTATGCATAGCATTTTTTTATGTTAAATATGTATAAAATATAAAAATTATTATGTCAAATTCGTATTGAAATGTCAGATATAAAATATATTTTTTTATTTTTATCAAATTTATATATAATTTTTTTAATTTTAAATTATATTATTTTATATTTTTTAATATTATTTTTGTGTTATATTATTATAACATATTTTAAATAATAAGTTTATTTAATGGTTACCTTTAATCCTAAAGATATATTTTAAAGTAGCTATTTTTTATTTATGATTTGAATGAAATTTGTTTTGAGTTTTTAATAATGCAACTTTAAACTTTTTTTCTCATTTTCAGACACTTTAAAACCATTGTGGCCAAACTTTTTCCAATAAGTGCATAACATACTAAATTCTCCTTCTAGAATCATCTTTCCCGTAAGGAATCTTTCATGTAAAACGACATAACAGAAGCAGTCTCTTTTTGAATAACCAAAATGCCATATGTCATGGAGACTTTGACACTAACGTCAACAACAAAGAAACAATTGTGCCAATGACATTAGTCCTTTGCAAATGTGTACTTATATTTAGGATAATTTCAACGATTTTTTGCATTGTGCAGATAATTGGGTTTTTAGATTCACGTTGGGATTATTTTGAACTCGAACCATCTCAAGTTTTAATCAATTTTATTATTTAAATTAACTTCAAATTTAATTTATTTTTAATTTTAAGCAATTCAAAATAATTATATTTGAATCTTTTTAGTTAAAAATTGAGTTTTCATAGATTTTGAATCTTTCTCTAATTTGAATAGTTCGAAATATATTATTTTGAATTTGAATTTGAGTCGCTTTTGATTTTGACATTTTAGATATGAATTTTTTTATATTTTTAATCAATTCCGATAAAGTAAGGTTGATTTTGATCAATTTTGATTTTTTTTGGGATTCGATTAATTTTGATAGATATAGTTTCAATCACATCTTTTGAAGATTAGACTTTGCCTGGTAGACAAAATTTTAGAGATCAATTCGGAAGCTAGCTCAGTGGTTTAGCTACTCGCTCAATTCCCACGAGGGATGAGTGGCTTTCCGATTCCCAATGGCTTTTGTGGGCTGCTGGAAATGTGAACCCACTTTGTTTTCGTCCGTTTTGTGCTTCACCGTGCATGTCATCATCCATTTGTTTTTAAACGATTTTAAAACATTCCACTTATCAAATTACTCACTTGTTATTTTACATGACTTTGTTTGGTTTTTGTGACCTTCAAATGAAACTCCACTATCAAATTGAATCAAAATTTTAATATTTGCCTAGAATGGTTCACAATTACTTGATGTATATTGTGATTGTATATTTAGATATTATATTTTTATTATATAGAAAATATAATAAAAATAGAATGAATTCAATTTAAATATTGTATTTATGAGTTATTTTAACAACTTTAGTATCACAAATAATTTTTTTTATATATTTAAAGTTATCAACGCTACTATGGGTAGTAAAAACAAAAAATTTTAAATAAAAAGAAATCAAAATCTAAAGGATACAACAAAAGAAATAATTAATTTTGAAGATCGAATCTTAATTTTATGCCAATGCTTCTTTTAAATAGAGTTAAGAGAACAAAAATTTTGGTGGCCCATTGACTGGGCTTCTCTTCAATCAATAGCACCATCTGAGGCCTATTTGATCAGGCTCAAAGCCCACTAGAACACATTTCTTTTTTAATTTTCTCTTATTCAAATAAATAATAAACAAGAAACAATCCAGGCTTAAAAAGTTAAATTTAAAATTATTATTATTTATAATCTATAGTTATAATATATATAAAGCACAGATATGAAAAGTCTTTTGAATTAACAAAAACGAGTATAATTGTTTATGTATTTTTCGTATTTGCTATTTTAATAATATATTATTTGTATCAAATTTACCCAATAATCACATTTTTATCCAAGAATAATTTTTTATGGTAGAATTAAAGCTAAGATAATTAAATATATATTCATTAAAATAAAATAATAACTAAATTTATATAACAATATTATGAATATGAAAATCTTTTGAACGGACAAAAATGAGTATGATTGTTCATCGTATTTTTAAATTACCATTTTGATAATGTTTTATTATTTATATTAAATTTATCCAACAATCATATTTTTATCCACTTATTATTTTAATAATAAAATTAAAGTTAAGATAGATTATATATATTCATTAAAAAAAAATTTTGCTTCATGCAAGAGAAAGGCTAATGGAGGAAGGTGCTCTCGGTGCAAGCGGATGTGGTAGCTTTTTAGACTCCATTCCTCCATTTGTAATCAGCTTGATTCTTGCAGAGTTTCACTTTGCAAGTAAAATGAAATCCATCATTATCTGTTATTAGTGTATCAAGTCTGGTTGGTCTTAAAAGTCCCATCTTTGTATCTTTTTCTAAAGCAATTGGGTCAATTTATTCTTTTTTTTCAATTACTACAAGCATTGTTGGCCTGCAAGCATGATTACTTCTCTATTTTTTTTATCAAGAACATTAATATTGTTTGCTTTGTAAATGTGATAGACAATTCAAATTTAAAGCTCAACAAAAAAAATGGGTGATGATGCAAAGTGGAAGCTATTTGTGGGGAGGGTTTTGCCAACTAAAACTATGTCTTCTTTATCTCTGCCCAAAAGAAAGAGAGAGGAGTTGAAAGAAACAATGGGTGGTCATGTATTGAAAACCTTCAGATTATGTTGAATTACAATATTACTATAGAAATGAGTTAGTGCTATAAGAGAGCAGTAAGTTAAATTCTTTGATTCATATGAGAGAAAATTGTGTGTTGGTTTGTTTGACATATGAAGTGAATTGTTTTTGCCTAGCTATCTTCGTCCTATAAACCTATCATTCATCACTTGTTCTTTTAGGGATTTTAGACTAATCCTTTAATGGTGCGTTATGTGAGAGTTTGTGTCCAAAGCAAGATGATATATAATGGAGTAATCTTGATTTGATGCAGCTGTTTCCTTGGGAAAACTATTAAACTCTTCCTTACTACTTGTTGAATTTACTATTAAGAAATTTATTAAATTGATGGCTTACTTTTAGAGAAGTTGCAAGTTACTTTACTGTAAGAATGCAACACATTATCTTTTTTATGTCGATAAATTTGTGGACCAGCATGACATGCCTTGTGGATTTTTAAGTGTTTTCTGGTATGAAGCTAAGATTTATCATAGTTATTTTTATCTTGAAAGAATGAAAGGTCACTTTAGGCCTTTAGGCTTTGAGTTTTTGATTGAAAGCTATTAGTTTTATATTTGATTTTTTTTTCATGCATGTTATTTTGTGGGTTTTAAATTAATATTGTGGTTGTCAATGTTATAATAGCTTATATTTGATTTTTTTTTTGTTCATGCATGTTGTTTTGTGGATTTTGGGCCTTTTTTATGATGCAATGTATTTGGTATTTAACTTTGTAATTACAATTTTGTTCTAATTTTATTCATATTTTTTTGTAGTTTGTAAAAATTTATTGATCTTGAAGTCATTTTGAAACTTTTAGGGTGAACATTAAAATTAAGGTTTGATCATTTTTTTTTATTTTATTTTGGCTTTTGAGGTAATGTTATTGTCGCTTTGTCTTTATTGTATTAAGCTATTGATGTTGTGTTTATTCTTTATTTGATTTGGTTTATGCTTTTGGGATCATCATAACAAGTTTAAGAGAGATACTTTTTGATATAGAACAAATTTAGGAAGAGCCAAGCCTAAGTGTGTATGTGCGTATGTGTGTGTGTATATATATATCTTTCATTTTTTTTCAATACGAAAAAGTGTTGAAAAGATCTACATGTTATACTGTTTCTAGATCTACAATGTCTTGTATAAAAAAATCAGAATAATTGATCTTAGGTTGCAAAAATTAGAGAGTTCTCTTACAAATGGGTGTTATTTCTTTTTGGAAGGAAGTAAAGTTCTTTACATATGTTTTATTGTTTGAAAGGAGGATTTTGACTATCAATCTGATTATACTTCAATACTTTTATGAGAATTGTGATTTAATTTGAAAGTCTAAATGCAATTAAAAACTTTTTTTTTATTTTTTAAATGACAATTTAATGAAATACGTGATTTGGAGTTGGAGTTTCATAAAAAAAAATTGCAGAATTTAGGTTATTAATGCCTGTTATTAAAAAAAAAATTCTTTAATCATGGCCAAAACTAAGAGTGCAAGAATAAATTATGAAAAGATAGAAATATATATTAACATTATGCATTTAATCTCCCAGAGTTAAATATAGCTACAAATGCAACCTTCTTTTGAACTCTAAGGAAAAAATGAAAAAAGATATACATTACATTACAAGTTTAATTGGCATCCCAAGATTAAATACCTGCAACTGTTAACAATGAATGTAACCTTCTTTAAAATTCCAAAAAATTGATTATGTTCATTTATTGTCAACCATATGTGCCAACATAATCATGATTTTATGATCTGAAGACAGTATGATTTTACAAGTTATAATAGACATTTATGTTGCAAATATGATTGTCTCCATGATAGAATCTGCTCGACTGTAGCATCATTTTACTTTAAGTATGCAGCATTGTAATTATGACTACCCTTTATCTTTCATGTATGCCAATGTCATGTAGGATGGAATAGCATTCAACGATTAGAGCAAATTGAAAGATTTTTCAGTTGTTGCCAGGGAAAGTTCTGTCAATTCTTACTTCCATCTTTATTAAAAAACCTTATATCATGATAAAGTAATTTGTGTTATTCAAGTGAGATATTTGTCTATACTGTATAAATTATCATTTTGTTGTTAAAAAAGGTCTATTTATGCTATGTATTTTCATTAAGTTTTGTATAATTTGTTTTCTTTTTGCTTTGCAAGGTTTTAGGTTAGGTTTTACTATTTGTTGTTTTTTAAAGGTTTTGACATCAAGTTAGATGATGAGTCATAAAGATTTGTTTCATCGATTTTAATTTAAGTGATTTTAATCAGTTGCGTTATTCGTAATTATTTAAAATTTTTATTTATTATTATTTATCAGTGTTTAGTTATTTTGTTCGTGGCATTTTATAATCGATTTTCTTCCTATAATAAAATACCTCATATGTAGTTTTTTGGGGCTTTTAGAGATTGAAAGCTCATTCATGAGGATAATTTCAATCTTTTTATTGGGATGTCTGCTTTAAGAGGTATTGAGACATCTTGATTATTGAATTCCATTTGAATTTATCAATCTTTATATATATGTTGGAGTTATATAACAAATCTTTTTTACTCACTTTAAAGGATATTATCTCTTAAACTTTGTTCTGTTCAGAGGTTTTTTGGATTGTTGGTTTGAGGGCTAGTTTTTTGTTTTATGGTATTTGTTTGTTCAAATAGATTAAAGTTAAATATCTTAATAAAGTATAATTAACCTGTTGTTGTTTCTTCTAAATGAGTTGAGATTAAATAGGCTTAGGAAATCTAATATTCTTAGATCAAATAAACAAAGGCAATAGAAAAGTTTTACGGGTTTTGAGATTTTGGATGGTATTAAAGGTTGTAAGAAATATCAAGATAAAAGACGTGAGAATGAATCGAGAAGTATGAGTGATTATGTTGAAATTAGGAATTTGAGTTTTGATGCGAATCTAATCATTTTATTTAGTAAATCATATTTAACCAAATTGTCATATTTTATCAAACTATCATGATATTTTGAATCAACCAATATGTCATAGTTTAGCCAAACTATCAACATAAAAACTAAAAATATGCTTATAGAATTTGTAAAATCAACTGAAACCACACCAAATGCCTAGGTTCAAGATCTCACCCTTTGAGGAGCTAGACAAAAAGAAAATTTTGAAACAGATAGCAAAGAAGGTGCCTTTACATTTCTTTTAACAAGGAAAGGCTCCAATGAACTACAAGCGATAACTATCAATAATCCTTCCACTTTCCGTAAATGAAGATCTCTTCATTACCTCTATTTATGTTGTGTTACTTCTTTCATTCTTAGCTTTGTATAATGTATAACATTAAAAAAATGCATGTATGAATTTTAATGGCTTTGTCAATGAGCATGGAGATCAATGTACTCATGAAATGCGGTAACTATCTTTGGATGTTCATTGCAAAAATTGTGCAAAGAATTAGTTCTAATTATCCAACTCTTTTTTAGATGTTCATTGGAGTTCTTTTCACTTTGATCTATTTGTAGCCTTCCTTCAACTTTGATCTATATTCAGCTAACAACAATATTGTCTAACTATTTACTTAATTTTTTATAGTTAAAACAAGTTACAAATTGTAATATTTTTATAATTAAAATAAGCTCGTAGCATAGCATGGGTCTATTGGCTAATATATCTCATTTTGGACTTAAAATGCAAATATAATTAAATTGTTATAATTTTAAATTTTTCATTTAATACATTATTTTTATTAAATTAAAAAACAATATATTAATTATTATTTTTTAATTGTCACCTTAATCAGTATTTGGAATCTAAATCAGCCCTAAGCTAAAAACCAGTGTTAAGTGCCACGTAACCAAATCTTACTCCAAATAATTAACAACACCCGTCGCTCTGGTTTTCCTTAACGACGAAGGACTTTGCTTTTCCATGCAGAGGGACATAACAGTCAATTCCACCAAACACACCTCGAACCGTCTGTACGGGAATTCGCTACCAACGGAGATGATTTCCGTTACAACCTTATTACAAATTTAAAAGCAATCTTTTTTTTTTTTAATATTCGAAACTTATAAAGGAAATCACGAAATAGAACCAGATAGTCCAGATTCCCAGAATTACGAGCCAAGCTCTCCCGTTCTTACAAAGGAGGAATAAACATGGGGCTGCTTTCCAACAGGTTTTTATTTTTAATTTTTTTTTTTTTAGTTTTCCCAAATCTTTTGTAATCTATTTGGGTTTCTTTTAGATTGATATTTTGATTTAACATCATTTTTTTTTTCTTTGGTCAAATTTTGTTGAATGAACGAATGGATAAAGCAGAATTGACAAGAAGAGCCTTAAACCAGGGGATCATATTTATTCATGGAGGACTGCTTATATTTATGCCCATCACGGTTCTTTACTTCCACCCTTTCCTTTATTTTTACATTTTCTGTTGATTTCTTGTAGTTTATGGTTGTGGGTTTGATGTTTTTGCCACTGTTTAACTATCAGTATCCGAATAACGTACCCCAAAATATGGGTATAGTTGAATTTTAGCTTATATTTGATTTATAAACATTAAATCATGGGAAAAACCCATTTTTTTCCGAGTGCATTTGATGATCTAAGAAAGTAAAAGTTAAAACATTGAATTGTTGATGAAAGGGTCTAGACCAGTGTCCTTGCTTCTTTTGTTTTTAAATTGGCGGATTAGATTTTGTTTTTCAAGTGCCTTATTTTGAAAATTTTAATTGGTTAAGCATAAAGACTGTTACTTATCTATAATGTGGTATGATGATTTCATTAGGCATTACTCTGTTACCTAGCCTAGATTATATACCGCGACTAGCAAACTGTATGATTTGAAAGCAAGAGAGAAGTCTAATTGAAAATTGATTATCCGCGATTAGTTCCAATTAGAATGCTATTCCAAATGAATGCTGTTGGTTAGCTTACTAACTTCTATAAATAGTTTTGCCTTCTATGATCACTTGCACCTTTACCACGAGTTTCTCTAAGGGACTACTGCCCTTAGTAAGAAGGTTTCTTATAAATAAGGGTGGCCAAGTTAAATAATTTATTTCATTTGAGCTGGGGAGTAATGAAATGCCTAAGGCTAATTTGTATCACTGGTTTGAAATGATAAGAATGTATTCTGAAATAGTATATATTTTGCTGCTATTGAGATTACCTTTTCTCCGAATTAGATTTAGTTAAAGTTGGTCTTTTTCAATTTTAGATGTTTTGAGTTGATCTGTTGAAGAGTTATTTGCTTATTTTTTTGGGTTTCATTTGCCAGTTATATTTTCCTGGGATTGTTCTACTAATTATATTTTTTTGCTTCTGTATGAGAACAGGCATCTATGTTGGAAATGACAGAGTCATTCATTTTACAAGACGTGGCCAAGAAGTTGGTACAGGAACTGTTCTGGATCTCATCTTGGTAAGCTCAGGGCCAGCTCGAACTCAAGTGCATTGCCCTACCTGTACTCCACCAGAAGAAGGTAGTGGTGTTGTTTCCTCGTGCTTGAGCTGCTTCCTTGCTGGTGGCATTTTGTACCGTTTTGAGTATGCAGTTAGCCCTGCTCTCTTTATTGCCAAAGCACGAGGTGGAACTTGCACTCTTGCAGTCTCAGATCCAAATGATTTAGTGGTCCATCGAGCAAAATACTTGCTTGAAAATGGATTTGGTTGCTATAATGTTTTCAAGAACAACTGTGAAGATTTTGCGATCTACTGCAAAACTGGGCTGCTTGTATTAGATCAAGCAACCATTGGGCAAAGTGGTCAAGCAATATCGATTATAGGTGGCCCTCTTGCAGCTGTGTTGTCAACTCCGTTACGTCTTGTTACTACAAACATTTATGGAATGGCAGCTACAGCAGTTGGAGTGTACTGTGTAAGTCGATATGCTGCTGATATTGGCATGAGGAGGGATGCTGTGAAGGTTTCAGTGGAGGATCTAACCAGAAGACTGGCAACAGGCTTGCTTCAGGTGATTGAACCCCAACTTAGGGCTGCCCCTGGCAGTTAGCATTTCATATTGGTTGCTAGAAGTTTTACTGCAGCTCTATTTCTTTCCAGTCTGGTCAAATTATCTGTCAAGGTCTTTCGGATGTGTGTTGGAAAATGCATTTTTCGCTTGTGTTGTGAGGATGCGTATCTGCTATTAAGACGCTTATTTGCACAATAAACTTGGTTTGTTATGTCCTTGAAATGAAGCCGACCGTTAGGGTTTATATGTAAAACTAACAAGATTTTTCTCAATCTATGGAGCTCAAATCAGGTGTTTGTGATTTATTTGATATCTTGAGATCTTGTAGATTCATTTCCTTAAGTTCAATATTGAATCTGTTATTGCCTTGTCAGATAACCATGGTACCCTTGGATTTGGTACATTATCATAGTATTTTTAATTGGCAACAAACGCTATAAAAACATAGAAAGAACTTGGAAGCAAGCAAAAGAAAGGCATAACTTTTAGCACCCAGATTAATAAATATAGAAACCAAAATTTTGGGTCTTAAACATTTGAATATCTAAGATACATTTAACACTGAAATTGAAGAAAAAAGAAAAGGGAAAGTTAGCAGATTTAACATAGCATAAAGATGAAAATATAATGTTCCAGATGATGCGACTCAAATAAATGGGGGTAGAACTCTTGATGTTTTATTGAATGATCACATTTGCCATGTCTTCAGTAAACCTCTTACACAAGCAAAACCGCATTTATACAACCATCATTCTCTGGGTTATTTGTCACTTGAGCATATTTTCCTGCATTCACCAAAATCAAATAATAATAATAATAATAATAATAATAATAATATAGTAAAACCAAAACATGGGTTGCTCATGCAGAATAAAACAAAAGGAGGATCTTTACCCCAAACAACTTTCCCAGCTGGTGTGACCAGACCCAATTCACTTACATTCACCTGAATTCAACATAAAACAAATGAGTATCACCGATGCCAAGCAAACAGAAGTCATAATGAATAGTTTTCAAAGAAAAACAATACCTCAATGATAGTTCCTTTGGTCATAACACCAAGAGAGGTATACATTGGACCATTGGGATTTTTCTTCACCCCAATAATGTCAAGATTGAAGGTGCACTTGAGTTCAGGGTGTGTAACATGAGCTTTGGTAAATCGCAATCCCGATGGACGGATGAAACGCTCATATTTTGGAGGTTTTCTTGTAAAACCAGGTCCTACAAATGTGCACTTTGTAACCATTCTCTTCCATTGCTTTGCTGCAAGAGGACAAAACAAAGAAGAAATTAACAGAAAGGAACCAGCATTTATCCTCTTAACTAGGGCAAACAAACTCCATATACAAAAGACTGCATTTCTTCCATGGTTTGCATTAAAAAAAAAAGGAAAATAAGCTATTTATATATACTTACTTTTTCTTTTACCAGATCTGATCACCTTAAACATCTCATCTTCTGCAACAGGCCTGACCTGAAGAAGGACAAAAGTTGAAAGTCAAACAACTGTAGTTAAATGAAAAATTAAGCGCAAGTTATAGGAAAAAAAATTGAGAAAGCATATAATCAGATAAAACAAACAGAAAAGTTTAAAATCTTATTACCTTTGGTATAGGGACCTCCCATTTCCCAGCTTTCTCTTTCCTCTTTTGCTTTATGGTGTTGCTGAGAACCTAAACAGAGCATAACATTATATCTGTTGATGACATGAATTATATCTGTCGATGACATAAAACAGAGCATACCTTTGCACGTGTGGTGTTTTCACGATCCATAAGATAGGCAGGAATAGCTCCATCTTGAACTTCATCATCAACCTTGCGCCTAGTTGATGATTCTTCATGCATAGCCAATCTGTTGACACATAATTCCTAGTTATTACATAATCAACAAAGAAGAGAACAGAAATGATGAAGCCATAACTGCTCTCTAAAACAAGGTATAAACCCAAAGCAAAAGCTTTAAGATGCACACATCTCAAAACAAGAAATCCATGTCTCAAAAGGAAGTTTCATTTCATGACTCCATAATCCTTTCAGGGAGGTAAGACCTTGTAAATCATGCATACGTTTTCCACTTCATTTTGCATGTTTGAATTAATCCCAGAAAAAATTTCTCAATGAAGAGCAAAAGACGGCAGTTAATACCATTTGATCTCTTCTCTAATATCACTGTCCATAAATGCAACTTAACTATCCCAACGCATTGACCACTGAGTACCAACTGACTATATAAAAACTACAACTCTGAGCAACATGAAAATGGGAAACAGTCATGTTAACATCCCAGGAATAAGTGGCATGAATAAGACATTGATTTAATGAAAGACGATAGATGATCACAATAGGCATTATCACTATGAATCAAACTAATCTATTCAATAAACTATGACAAGATTCACGCTTTCATTTGAAATTTACAGAATCTAACTGTCAGCTAATAAAATATTAAAAAAATTATCATCACCCTTTACAGTGCAAAATGGAACAGAAATTCTATGATATCATAATTGGATTAAATCAAATAGTTAAAAAAATATATTATAATGGAAAATATCCAAATTAGAAAAATAAATTAAAAAAAAAAAAGAAACTCACGTTTTTTTCATGAGGGCCTTCTCAGCATAATTTTTCTTGGCAATCATCTTACCCTTAATACCAAGGGCCTATTATAACAATTTAACAAAAACAAATTAATAGCTCACAAAACCCCACAAAAAATAGAGAAATTACCAAAATGAAAGGGAAAAATAAAAAAATAAAGACCTTTTGAGCCTTAGCGGAATGCTCGTGAACTTGACGAGCTTCCTTCTTGCGCTTCCTCTCGAAGAAGTCAGGGCGATAACCATGCCTCTTTCTGTGTAGCTCTATGTAATCTCCTTGCGGCTAAACAGAGAATTAAACAAAAAATTAGCAAAAAGAGAAAAAAAAATAACTGTTGAAATGAGTTCTTCAAAAGGATCAAAAGAGAGAATTCAAATTGAACCAACCATGGTGACAAAACTTCGATCTTTACTTTGGGGAAGAGAGAGAAACCCTAGGGTTTTATAATTTTGTGAACCAAAACAAAATCCGTTGGGCGGCGAAGATGATGGGTATAAAAAATGCGGGTCGATGTTTGGTTGTATAATTATTGGGTCGTGGAGGCTTGGGCTTGAACCAAAAAGCTTGGGCTCAATTCAAGGAGAAGTCTTGGGCTAATGACCTAGTTTTTTTAATTTACCATAAATACCATTAGGCTTTTTTTTTTCTTCTTTTCTCTATCGGCCAATATCATAAATTAAGTTCTTTTTATTCATGGAAATTAAGGTGTGAATTAATAAAATATTTTATGGACAGTTGATGAATATATTTAGTTTTTATTTATTTATTAAGTTTAATAAATAATTATAAATAATATTTTAAAACTTATTAATTACAAAAATTTATGAACATAGCAAAGTTTGTTTATATTTTATTTATTTACTCTTGTATTATAACAAATAAATCATTTAACGAATAGGTCATAAATATATTTTGATTCTATTTATTTATTATATTTAATAAAGGATTAGGAATAATATTTTAAAATTTATAAATTAAACGAAAAAATTATAAATATAATAAAATTCCTTCTTTACCCATTTTTTTTATTATTGAATTAGCAAGTAAAAAGCCTAGTTTATTATCATTGATGAAAACGCTGAAAATCGAAAATAAACATAAGAAGCATTATATAAGTTGGTATAGTTAATAAGTAAAATTAAGTGCAACTAATTTGATTTTAGGTAAAAATATTGAATTTTCATTTTTTTTTTCAATTATCCAACCACACATAGGGATGGCAACGAGTAAGGTCAGGGCAAGTTTTTACTCGTCCCGAACCCGACCCAACTTTAAACATGCAAAACTCGAATCCGATCAGATTTGATAATTTTTTATTATTTTTATATCCGAACCTGACTCGATTCGACATTATATAAAATCATATCTAATCCGACCCGAAATTAATAAAATATTTTTTTAATAGAAGTATAAAATTAAATATATATATATGTATAAATATATATAAATAAATAAATAATTATTTATATTGATATATTTGGTCGAGTAGGGTCGAATTTGTCTAAAACCTGACCTCGACTCAACTTTAATTTTTTTTTCATGCCACCCAACTCGATATTCAATTTAAAAAAAAAAAACCAATTATAAAAAATCAAATCGAATCGAAACCTATCGATTTCGAATTTTTTTATCTTCTCTAGCCACACACATGGCCTGCCTAATGAAGGCTATAGAAATCAATTTTGTAAAGGCCACCCCATATGGCACATATATTGGGACCATTGGGCCATAAGCCATAGGCCACTACCATAAATTGCAGTCAGCATTCTTCTTCCAATATCGAATAAATTAATCACTCAAGAATTTGGTTTAATCATGGATACATGCATTTATTTTTACTTGTAGTTATTAAAATTTAAATTTAATGCTCTATCAATAAATTACATATTTATTAGATGTATTTTTTTTATTTAAATAAGTGTTTGAATCTTGCTTTCTCAAATTAAAAAACAAAATTTATTTAGATATTTAAGTTAATGAATGTGATGACGATTTAAGTTAAATTTAATTTAATTGATTCATAAAATAATTTAAATAAATAATAAATTTAAAATTTAAATCCAAACACTTATAATTCATTTTCAAATCTCCGAACTGCAACTTTGGATATACTAAAACAAAGTTCATTCATCACCCAATCCAATGGTTCTGCAGTTTTACCAGCCTGTTACAAGCATGGTTGATACTCTCAACAACGTTATATGGATGACAAAACTTATCCTCTTCACCAATGGAATGGACCAGATTCTGGTGGCCTTGTCTAGGGGGAATAATCAAACTCACTTTGTCAAACTAATAAATGACTGCTGGTGCCAATATGATCAGAATCATTCATTCTTAGCCAGCCTTTATCTTTCTTCCCCCTTGCTCCAATTTATGTCTTAGGTTTTGAAAAAAGGAGAAAGAAAGCATAATTTTTCTAGTTTTGGCGTTAGTTTTTAAGATTTCGTTTATTCTTAGAAATCAATATGAGGCAGCATCGACATCTATTATATCTTTTTTTTTTCTTTTACAAGTGGCAATTATTCCAGCAATAATTATCGTTTAAAGTCAGAATATTTAAAACTTTCGAAGTTCTAATATTGAAATTGAACCCACAAAATCACTGATATGATGTGAGTGATGAACCAATAAATTTTGTGAAATTACATTATCAATTAATTGAAATAAATTAGTCTATAATCAATCTATAAACTTAATATCATCATCACTATTATAAAACATTGTATGTATTAACATTTTTTACAATTTAACTCCTTATGAAATTATATTTTTTAATGGTAATGATGAATTTTGTTTTTATTTTACTAATTACATTGTTAGTTTAATTCGTAATATTATCATCCAAGAAAAAGTTATAATTTGTTCAAAAATTTTGTCGATTCCTCTTTTTATTTTGGTAATTAGGTTTTTTCTGTTGCTTTTTTTTTGCTTTCGATTTTTTATCAATTCTGTTTTATTATTATTATTATTATTATTAAGGTTTTGGATTTTTTTTATATTTTTGTTGGTTGATTGATTAATATCGGTGTAGGAATTTTGTATTAAAAGTTATTTAACCATAAGATATATTAAAACGAATATATGAAATTGAATGTATATTAAGTTCCAATAAGATAAAATTATGTGATCTTATAAAATCTTCAAAAAAAATTTCACTTTCAAAGGATTTAAATAAATAATTTATGAAAAAATATCATCCTTACTAATAAGAAAAAAAAAGAAAAATCTTATGATTTCTGCTTAATTCTTGACTAAGTTTTAAGACATTAATTAATAGACACCTTAATTTGTCTGGAGGTTTACAAAATTAATTTTATTAATTAAAAAAATAAAAAAATAAAAAAAAGTGGTTGAATTTGTGAAAAACTGAGTTGAAGAGTTTATGATAGATTGGAAGAGGTTGAATGAGACTAAAAGTTTGGAAGAAATTAAGATTTTTATTCGTCATTGGATTCTGTCTTATATACAGACTGCGGCCAAGCTTGAGAGGATACACAAAAAAACAGAAAGCAAAAGCAATGAGAAGTGTTTAGAAAAGCTATGGCAATCCTAAAGTTTTAGGAATTTTTTTTGAAATTTTTGCAGTTTTTTTTTTTGAAACATTTTAGAAAAATTTCAGATTTCGATAAATTTTTCAACGACATTTTTCAATTTTTGATGTGTTTCTCAGTTTTCGGTGAAGCTTCAACCGAAATTCTAAGTTTTTAAAGAGAGAAAAATAAGAAAAATAATGAAAAAAGAAGAAATCTAAAGAAAATATCAAATTTTAGCCTTTTATACCACTGTAAAACCACATCGTTTTAATGTTAAGAAACCCCAAGATCTATATGTTTCTATTCGGATTAACCCGACTGAATCGCGACCGCTACGTCAACCCGCATTTTAGTTTATCTGTTCCAGCTAAGCTGAGCTTAGTCGCGTTTTCGAGCCATTGTTTTTGTCTTAAGTCGAGCTGAATTTCAACAGCTAAGCCGAGCCGTTTCATTTTTTTTTTGTATTTTTGTATTTATTTTTTACATGTTTATTTTTTTTAGTATTTTTTGCATAATTAAATAAAAAATTAGAAAAAGAATAAAAAATCAAATATTTTTTTAGAATAAATATTAATTATCAAATGATGGAATTTATAAAGATTTCAAATGATAAATTTCTATAAAATTCTTAGATGATGAATTTTATCTAAATTTATCCCAAATTGTGGAATGATTTAAATGAAATTTTAATAACAATAATTAATATTTATTTTCAAACCAAAAAAATTAAAAAATTAAAAAATAAAATTTTGGATTAAATACAAATTACCCAATAATGAGATTCTTAAAAATTTCAAATGATAAATTTCTAAAAAATTTTGAGGTGATAAATTTTCTTTAAATTTATCCCAAATAGTGAAATAATTTAGATGAAATTTCAATAAAAGTAATTGTATTATTTTTCAAATAAAGTTTTGGTTGAAAATATTTGATAATTATCCAATGATAAGATTCTTAGAAAATTTGAATGGTAAATTTTATAAGAAATCTCTATGTGATAAATTTATTTGAATTTGTCCCGAATGATGGAAGAATTAAATGAAAATTCAATAAAAATAATTATCATATTATTTTATTTAAAAAAAGAGAAATAAAATGAATTTTTAAATAGGGGCAAATGGTGAAAATTTTAAAAATTCTGAAAGATAAAATATTTATAATTTGGTCAAAATGGTGGAATAATTATATATATTTTTAACAAAAAACCAAACAATTAAAAAAAATATTTTTGACAACGGAGCCTATTTAAGAAATTAAATGAGATTTTTGAATATTTTTTAGGTAATAAAATATTTTTAAGAATTCAATTATATTGATTAGATAATCTTATAAATTATTTTTAATATTTAATATAAAAAGTTTGAAATCATTAGACTCAATACCGTATAATAAATTTAAAATAAAATGATACCATCATTTGGATTGACATGTGGGGATGCTATAATTTTTTTCATATGTAATTAAACTCTCGAACCCTGTTATAGTTTGTAGACTCAAACTTATTCTTTTAGAGACCCGTCAAGCTTAGGAGCTTCTTAAAATGATAGATTCCTTAAATGACTAATCACACTTAGATAACAAAATTTTGTGGTGACTTATTTTGTTAAATCTAGTTATAGATTTTTTTATCTATATGTTATGACAATAGTGACATGGAAAGAGGCATGAATCTTTTATTTTTTCCACAATTGGAATATTTTGAAAGTAACGTTACACCATAACCATATGCACACCTAATCAGTTCCAAGAGAAAATTGTTTGTTTGGATTTTGAAATCAATTTAAAGATAAATTCAATTCCTATTGTATGGTAGAAAAAAAGGAAAAGGAATCGTCTCCATGACCCCACTTCATTTTTTTGGAATTTTTAAATTAAAAAAAAATTAAAAGAGAAATGATGATGCATATAATTAGGATGTTAATGGATAGAATATGAGTTGAGTAGAGTATTTTCCATTCTCATATT